ACACGCATATAATGAAATCTCAACAATACATCGATACACCTCGACAGTGGAATGTTAACAATACATCGATACACCCTCACAGTGGAATGTTAACAATACATCTATACACCTCGACAGTAGAATGTTAACAATACATCAACTCACCCTAACAGTGGAACTTTAACAATATATCAATACACCCCTATAATGAAATTTCAACAATACATCGATACACCCCGACAGTGGAATTTTAACAATACATCAATGCACCATCACAGTGGAATGTTAACAATACATCAATGCACCCTCACAGTGGAATGTTAACAATACATCAATGCACCCTCCACAGTGGAATTTTAACAATACATAATTGCACCCTCACAGTGGAATGTTAACAATACATCATTACACCCTCCACAGTGGAATGTTAACAATACATCAATGCATCCCTATAATGAAATTTCAACAATACATCGATACACCCCGACCGTGGAATGTTAACAATACATCAATGCACCCTCACAGTGGAATGTTAACAATACATCATTACACCCTCCACAGTGGAATTTTAACAATACATCAATGTACCCTCACAGTGGAATGTTAACAATACATCATTACACCCTCCACAGTGGAATTTTAACAATACATCAATGCACCATCACAGTGGAATTTTAACGACATATCAATGCAGCATCACAGGGGAATGTTAACAATACATGAATGCACCATCACAGTGGAATATTAACAATACATCAATGCACCATCACAGTGGAATGTTAACAATACATCAATGCACCATCACAGTGGAATGTTAACAATACATCAATGCACCCTCACAGTGGAATTTTAACAATACATCAATGCACCATCACAGTGGAATGTTAACAATACATCAATGCACCATCACAGTGGAATGTTAACAATACATCAATACACGCATATAATGAAATCTCAACAATACATCGATACACCCCGACCGTGGAATGTTAACAATACATCAATGCACCCTCACAGTGGAATGTTAACAATATATCATTACACCCTCCACAGTGGAATGTTAACAATACATCAATGCATCCCTATAATGAAATTTCAACAATACATCAATACACCCCGACCGTGGAATGTTAACAATACATCAATGCACCCTCACAGTGGAATTTTAACAATACATCAATGCACCATCACAGTGGTATGTTAACAATACATCAATGCACCATCACAGTGAAATGTTAACAATACATCAATGCACCATCACAGTGGAATGTTAACAATACAT